AATGACTAGCCCTAGGAAATATGGAAGTTGTATTGTATCATTCACTTCCTTTTTCTAATTTATCAACAAACGTGTATTATGTAATTTATAAAAATTGATTTATAAATGCATTTTTTAATGTTTAGCTGAAATACAAAAAGCATCAACTAATACTATGGGTTCAGAGACCAGCAGATGATGCAATGGTTACATCACGGGACTCCCATGTGGTCAACTGCAGTTCAAGTCCTGGACTCAGTCAGTGACTAGAAACTCACACCAGGCACATGTGTGTGCATGCCAAAAATCCCAAGAGGAAAATGGAGCAGAAGGGACTGCAGCATGGGGCCATCCCCCTGGGGGTGATTTCTCACTTTCTGTCTCTCTGTCTCTCTGGCAAGCACATGTGCCCTATAGCCAAAGTCTCTCTCTCTCTCAAAAAATAAAAATAAAGATAAAGATGAAAAAAAAAACCATGGATTTGCTTAAGAACTTAACAGAGTAGCTGCTTCCAAGCCACATAATATTGTAATTCCAGCAGTGGAAGCAAAAGATCGTGAAAATGAGAAGAACATAACTGAATTTAGGATTACTTTCCAAATTATTGATAGACCTGATTCTCCCCAAGTTAGATCACCAATAAGAAAGCAAAGAGAACAAGAAGAAAATACTGAGATCTTGGGTTATATTTCTGAAAAGGAAGAAAACTTTTGGGAAAGTAAGACTATGTGGGAAAATAACTTAAAAGAAAGGAATATTCTAGCATTATTAGAAAAATAAAGGAATTACATAAATGATTACCTGTTCCAGGAAGAGATTTTTTTGAACAAAATATTTCTCATGAAGTATCTGGTGCTCTACCATGTGGTTCCAAATAATACAACACTTTGTTTTGAAATGAAAACTGCAACCCTTGCTAACCCAATGCACTGTCCAAATCAATGTCTTACCCCCCTTTACCAACACACTGCCCATTCTGATGCAGGTAAGGAGATTTTGGCAGCAACATAATGCTTTGGAAAGAATCAAAAGATTTGTTAAGGGAACCATCAGTTAGCGTAATGGCTATGTTGCTGGACTCCCACGTAGTCGACCACAGTTCGTGTCCCGGACCCGGTGGCTTAAAACTCACGCCGGGCGCATGTGCGTGCGTGCCCAGGATCCCGAGAGGAGAATGGAGGAGAAGGGATTGCGGCGTGGCCATTCCCCCTGGGGCTGATTTCTCGCTTTCTGTCTCTCTGTCTCTCTCTGTCTGACGAGTGCATGAGCCCTATAGCGAAAAATCTCTCCCAGAAAAAAAGATTTGTTAAAAGTATAGAATAACAAATATACTATTAGTGTGCATTTATGAAAATTCATACAGAAGTGAAAAATAATATTCAAAAAATGAAAAACTGCAGTTGCATTTTAAGAGGGATTATAATGTAAATACTGCTTTAATTTTTTTTTTTTTTGGTGATACTGGCATATTGTCTTTCAAACACACAAGAAGAATGCTGCATTGCCTTTTAAAGTTTAACCAGTGCATGTTATACTAACAAATACTTTTATAAAGCTTAAGAAAACTACATAGAACCAACTATTTTTACTTTGTAGCTTAATTACTTGGTGTATTTTGCGTGCGTGCGTGTGTGTGTGTGTGTGTGTGTGTGTGTGAACACTGAATATTAGGGAGGAAAGATCTTCCATTATAAAATCACAACCACACTTGTACTCACCTGCAAAACAGCACGTACGGACTTCACACTATCAAAGGATGGAAACACATAATTCACATATGTCTCTTGATCAGGCTCAACTCCGATTTCACGCATTCCTTTGAGGACTTCAATTATACCTGTAAGATAAAATTCAGAAGTACAAAGATAAGGAACCTGTAATAAATTAACAAAAGATCAGAAAGTTGAGTTCAATTACTTTCTGAATCATAGTGTAAGAAAATCACTCAACACTGTTTAAAAGATAAGGCAGAAAAGCAACAAAACTAGCAGATAAGGAGATAAATGTAAAAAACAAATTCTTCCTTTCTTCATCTCCCTCCATCAGTTCAATAGTGAGTGCTAAGAAATTATCCTTAAAATACAACTATAAGAAATCTTAAAACAATGAAGCAATGTGCCTAACATTTCTGGCAACCCAAATGAACTGCAATAGTAAAACACCATTGCTATTATACAGCAATGCTGGTCTTGCACAATAAAGCTTTACAAGAATAAGTGTCATGAAAAGAAGGAATTGGGGAAGTGGGGTGACAGGGATCTGTCAACAATAAAATCGTTTCAAAAAGTTTTTTTTTTTAAGAGATATTTTTGCTATCGGGCATGTGTGCTAGCCGGAGGGAGAGACAGAGACAGAAAGCAAGAAATCACCCCCCAGGAGAGACATACATAGCACAATCCCTTCTCTGCCATTCTCTTCTTGGGATTTTGGGCATGCACACACACGAGCCCAGCATGAGATTTAAGCTGTTGAGTCTAGGATTTGAACCACAGCCGACTACATGGGAGTTCAATAACATAACGATCATGTCATCCGCTGGTCCCTTAAAAAGTATGTTTAACTAAGCACCTATGTAAAAAATTCTATAACAGTTACTAACTTGACTTTTTTAGCTTCATTACTTTCACATTATTAAAATTTCCTCATAAAACCCCTATTTCTGACTTATGATATCCCTACAGAAAATCATTTCCATAGATTTGCTATTCTTGCTCATACAGATAACCGACTGTAAATTCCCCGAGTACAGAAAGATACTGACAAGTCTAACAACATTATAATCATTCACACACTTCTATAGATAAAATTCAGTTTATGGATCAGAATATTTTAACTTTAATAGTTCATTATCTTTAAAGTTACCAAATACTTGTATAAGAACAGGTACGTTAGACCAATGAAACAGAATAGAGACCAGAGATAAACCTCTGCATGTATAGCCAACTAATTTTTAACAAAAGTTCCCCAAGAATGCACAATTAGGAAAAGAACAATCTCTTCAATAAATGGTGTTGGGAAAACACAATACGCACATCCAAGAGTGAAAACAAGATACACACATCTTACACTAACAATCAACTCAAAATAGATTAAAGACTTAAACCTGGAAACACAGAACTTGTGGAAGAAAACACCAGTTTTAGCAATGATGTTGTGCATTTGACATCACAGTACAGGCAACAAAAGCAAAAACAAGTAAGTGGGACTACATACAACTAAAAAGTTTCCCACACAGCAAACGAACAAACGAACAAACAAAGGCATCTATGGGAAAATATATCTGCAAACCATCTATCTTATAAGGGGTTAGTATCAAAAATACATAAGGAATTCATAGAACTCAACAGCAAAAAAGAAAAAAAAAGTAACATGGCTAAAAAATTGGGCAAATGACCTGTACATACACTTTTCCCAAGACTCATGAACAGGCAACAGGTTTACGAAAAAAAAAGGCTCAACATCACTGCTCATTAGGGAAATACAAACCTAAACCACAATGAAATAATCACCTGACACTTGTCAGAACGCCTATTTTCTTTTCTTTTTTCTTTTTTTTTAAGAGGTTTTTGCGAGGACCAGTAGGTGGCCTGGTGGCTAAGGCGCTGGACACTCCCATATGCCTGACCACAGTTTGAGTCCCGATCCTGGTGGCTTGCCTTCTCATTCTCTCTCTCTCTCTGTGTGTGTGTGTGTGTGTGTCTGGTCAAATTAAAATAAATGAATGAATAAATAAAATTAAATTTTAAAAAATCTTCCTTCTAAAAAAAAAAAAAAGAGGTTTTTGCCTTAAGGCATGCATGCTCACTGGAGAGAGAGACAGAGACTGTAAAAGGGAAATTGAGAAATCACCCCTTAGGGGTTGGCCACACTGCAATCCCTTTTCCTGCATTCTCCTCCTGGGATCTTGGACATGCAGGAACACATGCCCGGCATGGTTTTCAAGTCACTGGGTTGGGATTGAAAACATTGTTGGCCATGTGGGAGTCCAGTGACGTAACCCCTATGCCATCTACAATGCCTTTTTCAAAAAGTCTAAACAACAACAAATGTTGAGGAAGTGAGGAAGGTAAGGAAGTGCCAAAAATGTAACCTTTTAATACTGTTGGCAGGGATGTAAATTGGTACACTTAATATAAAAAAACTAGAGGTTCCTCAAAAACTTAAAATTAGAACTACCTTATGACCCAGAAATCTCTCTTCTGGGTATATATCCAAAGGAAAGAAAATCAGTATCTGAAAAAGATGTGATATTTTAAATTTTTCATATCTTTTTAACTAAAACTAAAGCAGACTTAAGAAAACTTGATATCACACCTTCTCAGATTAAGTTCAGTCACTTTCATAGGCATCCTGAGGGAGCATGCAAAGATAAGCACCTCAATAACTACAGTCAGATGGGAAGAGGGAAGCATTTAATTCAATAAGACAGGAAAAAGTGATTGATCTAATGTATCTACATAAATACAGTTCACATTTCTTTTTAAAACAAATGATATTAAGAATGGATTCCAAGCCTCTGTTAACTTATAAAACCTAAACTAAGACCAAACAAACAATCTCACAAACACATTTCAATGCAGCCATGAGAAAGTTTATAAGTCTTGAGGAAAGCATGTCTAAAAATTTTCCTAAGAATCAGGCCTGTTGGTGGGGCATGGTGACTAAGGAGACTGGATCCCACATGGTTGAATATATGATCTAAGTCCCAGACCCACTGGCTTGAAAAATACACAGGGTGTGTGTGTGTGTGTGCCCCAAATCCCAGAAAAGGGAGAAGAAGTTGAAGGATGGCCATCACCCCACACCTCTACCCATCTCTGTCTCTCTCCAGAGGGTACAAACATCCTACAGCAAACTGAAAATATTAAAAAATTAAAAAATCTTATAAGAATTAAGAGAGGGGATAGACAGTACAATAGTAAAATGTGATCATCTCTAAGGCTGACATACATGAGAAGGTTCCGGGCTGGCAGACTGCCCTGGATATGCCAAGCACAGGTGTGATCATAATCTGGGGCTGGCTGAAGCTGGGGGTGTACTGTAGCATCAAGACTCTGTTGGGGGACCAGCAGTTAGCATAATGGCTATGTCGCTGGACTCCATGTAGCCAACCACGGTTGGAGTCCTGGACCCAGTGGCTTAAACTCACGCCAGGCACATGTGCATGCGTGCCCAAGATCCTGAGAGGAGAATGGAGAAGGGATTGCGGCGTGGCCATCCCCCCTGGGGGGTGATTTCTCACTTTCTGTCTATCTCTCTCTGTTTTTCTGGCAAGAGCACGCACCCTATAGCAAAAACCTCTCAAAAAATTAAATAAATAAAAGACTTTGTTGGCAAACTGGACACATAACTCAGTAGTAAAAGGAGCTGGATTTCTTTTTTTTTTTTTTTTTTTAAGGAGCTAGATTTCACATGGCAAACCATGGGTTGAATCCCAGTCCTGTATGTATGTGCATGCCCAACATCCAGACAGGATGGAGACATGGAGAAGGGGCAGCATAACCATGACCCATTGAAGGGGGTTCTCTCTTGCTCTCTCTGTTGAGCATATTTGCCAACTGGCAATTAAAAATAAAGGGTGGAGGGGCAGCAGGTGGTATGATGGTTAAGGTGCTGGACTATCACATGGTCGACCATGGTTCAAGTCCTAGACCTGGCGTGTCTCTCTGTCTCTCTCTAATGAGTGCACATGCTCTATAGCAAAAATTAGGAGAGAAGAAAAGAAGCCTCTTTGGGGATGTTGTCTTTCTCTTTCTCTCATGTAAAAAATAAACAAATGAACTTTATAAAAAGGAATTATGATAGTTGATACTACTAGAAAGTTATATGGTTCACCTGAACAACATTTTACTGACTGTGACTATTGGCTCCACATGATTTTACATTCTACCCAGTATACTAACAGTATGAGGCAATTTCTTTTCTTTCTTTCTTTTTCTTTTTCTTCTTCTCCTTTTTTTTTAAAATTTTGTTGCCAGGGAGAGAGTGCGCTCACAACAGAGAGAGAGAGAACTCTCACAATGGGGCATGGTCATGCCAGAACCCTTTTTCTTCATCACTCCATCCAGTCAGGATTTGGGGCGTGAAAGCTCATGTGCCCAGCTTGTTTTTCAAACCACCAGGGCTGAGATTTGAACCATATGGTCAGTCATGTGAAATCTGGCTCCCTACTCACAAATGGCTTACCTGCTTTCCTATGGGGCCAGTTTGACTTCTTCAATTTTATTTTTTTAAAGAGATTTTTGCCTTAGGGCACATGTGCTTGCCAGTGAGAGAGATAGTGAGAAATCACCCCTCCCCCCAGTGCCGATGGTCACACAGTAATCCCTTCTCTTCCATTCTCCTCCCAAGATCTTGGGCATGCACACACACTCACCAGGTGTAATTACCAAGTCACTGGGTCTGGGATACAAACCACTGTTAGCCACATGGGAGTCTAGCAATGTAACTGCTATGCCACCTGCTGGCCCCAGATTTCTTACTTTTTTTAAAGTAATAAGTTCCCTTTATTCAACCACTTAACTTACTGTTTTTTAGGCTTTCATGATGATCTCAACTTACAGATTTTACCCCTCCCTATTCTTACTGTTATGTTGTCTCACTATACCAAGGAATGTAGATCTCCACTCATCCTTGGTTATTTCCTTTCATTTAGCTAAAATGCATTATTTTAAGTGGTGACTTTGCCACAGAGAAAAATACTAGTAAGATAAGCCATGAAGTCTTTATACATCTTCCTTAGAGGTAGATTTTAACTAAATTGGCAACCAGAAAAATATTAATAGAAATTTGGTCATCCCACTGTTGAAAACTCTTATTTTCAACTCCGTTTTATCTGACCTTCAAATATCTGTTTGTATTTCCTGAAGAACTCTATCTACTCCTTATTAAACACTTCTATATATTCTCCATCATTACAGTATGTTATTTCTACCAGTTTATATATAACTCAGCAGACAAAGATCAAGTTTGCTGCACTAATAACAATGCTAGCTTCTGACCTTACACTAAAGCTATACAGAATACATATTAGCCATTTCCTTGTTACATGAATGAAGATTATAAAATATACTTTACTATCTCTCAAGATTTCCTGCAAAGTAGAATATACAGTTTTTAAGATGTGCAAAACAACTAACAATCTCTTCCACTCTTAAGTCACAATCCTTAAGAAGGCATAAACTTTGTATTTTTCCAGATAAAACTTTCATTAATTAAAAAGAACTGGCACCTCTTTTTAAAATATCCTTCATGCAAAAGTTTAGTCTACTTTTAAACAACAGCAAAAATCTTCTATAAAATTATATAGCATGATGTTAACAAATTCAAATATGGAGGTGTTATGGTATAAAAAGAACATTTAATAAGACTTGAATCCTCCAGTCTACTGACAGCCAGATGGGGAACCTAAAGTCAGTCACTGACTCTCTGCAGCTCTCATTTTCTTCATTAATATACTATGAGCTTTCAGCAAGGCACCTTTACAATCTTATTCTGTGATTCTAATTAAAAAAAAAAAAAAAAAAGGATGGATTTGAGATAAAGCCCATTTTCTACTTGTTCAACTAGCTACAATTATAGAAAAATATTACCTAAATTCTTTTATATTTCCAAAGAAGTAAACATGTAGTACCCAGATCAAATCTAGATACTATGACGTGACTGAAAAAAGCAAATTTATCTGAAGAACAAACAAAAGAACTGTCATACCTATGTAAAGGTGGACAATAGTAAAATGCCCAAAGAGTTTGATGGGATGATGTAAACTTTCTGTGGTTTAAAAAATATTGGGTTGGTTACCTCTTTCAGAAGTAGAGCATTCAGAGCTGGAGGATATACAAAGAGTTAATCAACTAGCATATTGTTTTCACAAAGATTTTTCTAAAAAGGATTTAGAGACTTTTATAGCCAGAAACAATTAGGGAATACTTGTTTCACTATTTCCTTTAAACTAGAATATGGCTATATATTTAAAATAAAATTGCAATATGAAAGTCTGCTAAAAGCACTTTTTTGTTGTTTGTGCATTTTGTTTGTCACCCAATGTCACACTAACAACTCTGCATCTCATTCCAAAGCACATTATACTACGAGATAAAATGAAAAAGACCATTTTTTGTTTCCCCAAGGGGAAAGTACTTCTGTTAAAAGCATCTTTTTATGAAACTACTCTTTCTGAATTACCAATAATGCAAACCAAAGAATTAGATACTGTACTCTAAAATTTAATATTTGTTCAATTCTTATTCATATCCTATAGACATCCCATGTGTACAAAAGAAAAGTATGTTAAATGCTTAAACGTACTTAAGAACCTGAAAGATTGAACATTTCTGTCCTTCAATCAATAGGCTGTCAGGTCATGAGTACTCATTTTGCAATAAAAGTTTCTTGCATTTCCTATTATTATAACTAAGCTCAGTTAAGAAGAAAAAGACTGATCCACAAAGGAAATGGTCCCATCTTTTGTTTTCAGGACCTGATTATATATAACTTTATCTTTACTAGAACTTGACCAACTAATTTCAAACACTTTGTAAAATCCAGAACTAAAGAGTTTTTTAAAAAAAATATATAAAAATAACGAACTGTTTAAATCTACACTGACAAGTTTGGATGTCAAGATAAAAATTGAATAAAGAAATAAAATTAATGAAATTAAGGAGAAAGAAATCCATCATGTTTTTAAAAATGCTTATGTAATACTTCACTTTCATTTAAAACAATTTCATTTTTTCACAAGATCTAATCCTCAGGAGTAAGTATGCTTCCTCAAAGAATTCAATTAAATGAGTGTATAAACCTTTCACACTGGATCCCTGAACTATTCCAAGTCAGTGAAAGGCAAAATCTAACCTTGAACATTTTTCTCCTTCTGATGTCCAACTAGCAATGGCCAGAAATAGTGAGTTCGGACAGGAAAACCTTCTTCTTTCATGGCCTTCATGAGAGCTTTCGCCAAATCTGAAAAAAGATACCATGAAATATCACAAAGCTACCTCAGCAAAACTTACTTATGTCGGTATGAACTGTAAGAATACAGTACCAGTTTTTTTGGCTTGTAAAGCACAATGGAGTGTGAGCTGCAAAGGAGACGTGTGCATCTGGGCTTCCTTTAACTTCTTACAGTAGTCTGTCAGCTTCTCTGCAGGCTGGGGGAAAAGCCACAGATCACTAGATTGGCAAACACCCTTCTGCAAATATTTCACAACTTTTGGGATGAAAAATTTGAATTTCTCAATCGCTATTCCAAAACCTTACAAAACATAAACGAGGTTTCTAATGATACAATGTTTACAGATGGACTAATCTCATAAATTTTCTTATATTTTAAAGAATCTTATTTCAATAATGATTATACTATCTACAAAGTAAAAATGGGCAGAATACCATATTCATAGTCACACAGTGTTGTAAAAAGAAACTGCCAAAGTCATTCAGATTGTCTTCCTTTGATACAGGACATGCTAATAAAATTTGCAATGCTGTATCTTCCAATTTTTCAGTGACTAAAAGCAAAACGAGATTCATTGCATCTGGAAAGAAAACAAAGACATCTTTTGTTACTGAAATGAACAATAATTTTACACTGCAACCAATACTAAAGACAAAATTAAGAACTGCAAACACCAAAAGGTATTAGGCATGCCTGCCAAATAGCAATAAAACACTTCCAAAAATCATAACACCCCATATATGCATTAAATCACATCTTTAGCTTAAGCTGACTTTAAAGAGTACAATCACAATATTATTATTAGAGAATGCTCTTTCCATAATGTAAGAACAACTCATATTTTTATAAAAATCAAGTAAATAAAATGTTAAAAACTACCTGGAATGTATCTTCTTTCATATGTAATTTTTTCCAAAATTTTTGAGACATACTGAGGATACCCAGCTTTACTAAAGCTAAATATAATTTGCAGTAAATCACGGTCCATAAGGTAAAGATCAGACTTCTCCACCTTCTCCAAAGTCTATAGATGGTTCCAGAAATGAGAAGAATATATTAGAAACCAATGCTTTTTATTTAAGTAATAAAGCCAAAAAAGTTAAATACCAAAATTCAAAAACTAAATAAATATTATGTAAAAGTAAAGGACCTGTTTTATAAAACAGGAAATACTCAATTTCAACAATTACTATCATACATCAATACCAAGGTCCCAAGTATAAAAGGAGTTCTTCTTAAATATTACTTTCTATAAGGAGACATCTTTAAAACTGGTATAAACTACTCTTTTCTGCATCATGCAAAATATAATCAAGTTTATACAAATGATTTTAAAGTACATTTGTTTATATAACATAACTCATACCTGCTTAACATGGTCAATGTCACCCTTCTCAGCATATGCATTCAATAACGCAAGATATGTGTCTGGACCTGGCTCAATCCCAGCCTCTTTCATCACTTTCAGAATATTTTCTGCATTCTCCATATCTCTGTAAGTTAATTAAAAAAAAAAAATTACTATTATATTGCCAATGTAACATAACTATTCAATTAAAAATATATTATCTATGCTTACTAAAACAAAAATTTTAGTACCATGTGGAATTACATCAGAAAAAACGAATACATATTAAACTGGTTATGTGTTTCTGGAATAACAAGAGAACATAAACACGGAATTTTTATAGGTAACTATACCCCCCCAAACCCCCAATTATATAGTAATTAATCAGCATTAAATTGTGTATTCTCTTATACTTCTGTAACTCAGACTTCCTTTTTAAGATAATACTTAATAAAAATATCTTCCAGAGCAGTTAGTAAACTATAAATTCAGTTATTTCTGATCTACCTCAATTTTTTAAACTGAGTAATTTCAAATAGTAGTTTTGTGAAGGAATCTAAGAGCAAATTATATATTATGTTCTACCTCACACACTCAGATTTTTTCCTAAAAGACACATAAACAGGCTTAAAAATATTTTTAATAATTTTCTATTATTCAAATCTTGCTTAAGAAAAAAACCTTATGTTGAAAATTACCCAGCTCTTGCATGTCCTGTAACAAGGGCACTGAATACTGCTTCTGTGACTGGAAGATCCTTAGTTTTCATAAATCCAAGAATCTTACTACAATAAAAGAGAAATTTATTTCAAAAATACTTTACGTGTACAGAATTAGGCATTGAGTTATTTTACTTAAAAAATATAATGGTTAACACATCTATCTTACCTACAGAGTGAAAATTAATCCCCTTCCCATGAAATCTCACTCTCTCAAGTGTTAACAGTCTCAATGTCCTTTTGTTAAAAATACTAGGTAATGGGGCCAGCAGGTGGCATGGTGGTTAGGATGCTGGACTCCCACATGGCCGATCACAGTTTGAGTCCTGGAACTGGTGGCTTGTTTTCTCACACTCTCTCTCTTTTTCTCTGATGAGCACATATGTCCTATAGAAAAACTAAAATAATAACAATAATACACAAAATTAAATAATCCTTTTTGACAAACATGTTTTTAAAAAAATACTAGGTAATTTTTAAAAATCTGATTATTTTTCTCTACTAGTTAACCTTTTAAAAGCATGACATTCAATAAGATAAGATGCACTGAATTCAAAATAAAATTGTATATTTCAATTTATCCCTCATTTCCCAAACCCAAAATAGTAATAAATTTTACAACGGCAAAGAAATGTTGCAACCCAGGCTCGTGTGCATGTGTGCGTGCCCAAGATCCCGAGAGGAAACTGGAGAAGGGATTACAACGTGGCCATCCCCCCTAGGGGGGGTGATTTCTCACTTTCTATATCTCTCTTTCTGGTGAGCACATGTTCCCTATAGCAAAAAACTCTCCAAAAAAAAAAAAGAAATGTTGCAACCAATTTTATAAGAACTTGTGGGATAAAGAGAATATTCCCAGTTTTCTCAATAGGCACGGGTGTGTGAATGACTAGAACACCTCTTAGGAAATAATTTCCCTTGTTAAGAATAACCTTTTAAAAAGAGCAAATACAATGCTAGGTTTACAAAATTTGTTTCTCTCATGTATGTTTATAAGATCCATACCTGGCACCTTCAATATCTCCTACATTACAATAAGCAGCAATCAATCTCTGGTATGTCACCTGTCAATGAAATGGGTCAGTTATTATTATTTTTACTACTTTTATCTGTGTTAATAAAAAGTAGATGTGACCAATAAGTATACACTATACCAAGTACCCACTCGATTTGGTTGAATGTTTGCTTCTTCCATTTTTGCCAAGAAATCAGTTGGGGAGAATTTATATTCATTTTGAAGGTAGACTTTAAGTAAAGCATTGTAATGACTCACATCATAAACAGTACCTACAAATGAAATTTAAATTAAAATTTTAGAAAAGCATTTAAAATCATATCCTTTATCACAACTAAAATCATGGACATAAATTTTGCAACAAAAGTAAAATTAGCACTTCAGTATTTCAGCCATCTAGCTTAATACTTAGACACACCTAAAAAGATATCCCATCAGAACAGAGCAAGTTAAGCATGCAAGACAGTAATTATTGAATTACTGTGCAGTTACAAGAAACTGCCTATTCAGGTATTAAAAGGTTTCTTACTTATGAAGCATAATATTCTCTCCATGGGAAAATGCTGACAATACCTCTACATTTAAAAGAGACTGAAAGATTTTTCTATATAAAGCAGTTCTCCCTACAGGACAGACACATTCTGATGGATAGATTGTGACTGCAGTTCTCTTACACAGGGAGGGCTGTGGTGGCAATTCTGCTGATTGACTAACCAGGCTACTCAAAGCCTTCCTTTCAAGAACCTGTCCTATTTTCAGTTGCTGAGTATAGTTTCTAGGGTATTACCATTAATTACTGGTGTTCCAATGTCCTGTTTTCCTTCTGTGTCCATCTTGCCTATGGATACATCTATTAAAGTTACCACTACGCTTTACCCACCCATGATGTCAGTGTATCAATCCAGTGCTAACAAGTTTCACTAAATTTTCAAAAATTAAATATCTATCTTTACTGAGCTACCTATGGCCACAGAGGCTTGTTGTCAGTGTCTCAAGTCGGATCTAGGCAGCAGAGGCCTGCTATGTGAAAGGAAATCTGCTTTTATTTTATTCATGTTTCTTACTTGTTCCTTACTGTGCTTCAGGTACTGTGTTCCACATATAGAATTAATCTTCACAACAGCTTTGAAGCAAGTACTATTACCATCTTCTTCTTATAGATGAGGAAAATGGACTCTTCCACTTGTCCGAGGTCACATGACTCGTACATGGACAGATCTAAATATAGGTAGTATATGCCTTGACAGCCCAATCTCTCAATCACCGTAAAACTTTATCCAAAGGCTCACAAGGAACCACGTGCAAGCCAACAATTGCAACGTAATTATGTAGAAGTTACCATGGAACATCTAAACCAAGGACTTGCTCAAAACCCAGAGGAGTAGTATTTATTCTAGCTTTTTACAGATTTTAGTTAAGATCAGTGTTCAACACACTCATTTTTCATTTTTTTTCCTGCCACCTTGGCATAGGACATAGTTCTACAGATGACAAAAAAGTTTCTGTGAACTTCAGTAAAATATTTATTATGTGTTGTTAATTTCATGGGTCATTTCTAGGAAATGATAGGTTTTTAAAAATTGTATTTTTTCATAGTATGAATGAAGAAAGTGTAGAACTACTACAGAAATTAAATTAAAAACTCTAAGTCTAGAGATAGAACCCTGAAATGCCCTACCTAAATAACCAAAAGCTATATAACAGCATTGCTCTTTGCATTTTACACATGCTCTTTTACCTTTAATAATACCTCATAGCTCTGGTTTCTCTGTTTATGTTATTTTTCATGTGCTGATATTATGTTCCTATTCAATTTCTAGAAATACTTTAACACTGGAGACCAGCAGTTAGTGTAATGGCTATGTCACTGGACTCCTATGTAGTCGACCGCAGTTCGCATCCTGGACCCGGTGGCTTAAAACTCACGCCAAGTGCGTGTGCATGCATGCCCAAGATCCTGAGAGGAGAATGGAGGAGAAGGGATTGCGGCATGGCCATCCTCCCTGGGGGGTAATTTTTCGCTTTCTGTCTCTCTGTCTCTGTCTGTCTGGCGAGCACACGTGCCCTGTAGCAAAAACCTCTCAAAAAAAAAAAAAAAAAAGAAATACTTTAACACTGCATGTACATCATAAACAGTTTCCTTCAAAATTACAGCACACTGCACAAATTGTATCCTAATTTTCACTTGAACTTTGGAGAATGCTCCCTATCCCCAAATCAGCATATCAGAGCACAGTATTCTATTTTATGGATGCTCCATAATTTATAATCTCATAGCAAGGGACATTAGAATTGGTTCCAATTTCTTGAAATTACAAACAAGCTACAATGAAGAGTGTAAGAACATCTGTATCTAAATTCTAATATACAGAATGCTACTCAAATGGAATGTGCATTTATAACTTTGATAGAACAAATGCCTTTCTATTTTGTTCTTTAACTTACCATACTTGTAATACTTGTTATGAAAAATTGTTTTATTCAATGCCCCTAGATGTCACTATAACTCACAAAATAAATCGCATTACCAAAATTATGAATCAAGTAACCCTTCCATAAAATTGAATTACAACAATTATGTAAAGAAACCCTTTTTGTGAAAAAAAAAAAAAAAACTGTCATTTATACATCGTTATTTTTGCAAATAATCATACCCAATTTCTGAAGTTTGTCCCATATCCTATGAGCAAATTCTGTTCTCTCTGCAAGCTTTAGTTCAGGCAAGAGAGAACCACAGCTACGCAGCAGAAGCAAGGCTTGATTACCACCGGGGCTGCCTATGGAAAAAGGTTAATGGATAACATTTAACACAGTATCAGTAATGATCAAAACTTAAACTGAAATCTATACATTTCAAAAATCTTCTGGTTCACAAAGATAACATGGACGGTATCCATAAATTTAGGAAAATCCCATTTTAATCCATAACATTACTAAAAGTTATAAACTAAATGTTTAGTATTTGTCTTCTTACGGAATCCGAGATTACGATATCAATATAATCTACAAGACTCTACTGAATGCAAAAATACGAACCTAATTTACCTAACTTATAAGCAGTGCTTGCTGTAATTCAAAGGCTAAGCCTCGAGACAGTACAAAGCAGTTTAATTAAAACCCATGAATATCAAATTTAGGTAACAAAATAATAGATACTTCCTTCTCCCTGTATCTGTAACCTTTATCTACATGTCTCTGAAAGCTGACTTCAAAACAGAAGAAAAATAAACCCCTTATTTATGATTGTAGTCATATGAAATACCCAGCATAGGTAAATCTATAGGAAAAGAAAATACACTCATGGTTTCCTGGGGCTAGAAAAAATAGAGGATTTGGGACTGGAGACTAAGGATAGAGGAGTTTCTTCTTGGGGTGATAGAAAAAAAACAAAACTGATTATGCTGATGGCTGGACAATTCTGAATACATCAGAGAAGAAATGGTAAAACAGTCTTAAAATTTATCTTGTTATAATTGATACCTCTTTGGTATTCCCTCAGCATCAGATTTTTTTTCAAGGATTATTTTATTTAACTTTATTTACTTATTTATTTCTCTCTCAGAGAGAGAAAG